TCTTAGTCCATAATGTTCAATATTGAGTTGGCCCACCCTTTGCAGATATAACAGCTTCAACTCTTCTGGGAAGGCTGTCCACAAGGTCTAGGAGTGTGTCCATGGATTGTTTGACCATTCTTTCGGAAACGCATTTGTGAGGTCAGGCACTGATGTTGGATGAGAAGGCCTGTCTCACACTCTCCACTCTAATTTATCCCAAAGGTGTTGTATCAGGTTGAGGTCAGGACTCTGTGCGGGACAGTCAAGTTCTTCCACCCCAAACTCGCTCATCCATGTCTTTATGGACCTTGCTTTGTGCACTGGTGCGCAGTTATGTTGGAACAGGAAGGGGCTAACCCCAAACTGTTCCCACGTAGTTGGGAGCATGAAATTGTCCAAAATGTTTTGGTATGCTGATGCCTTAAGAGTTCCCTTCACCGGAACTAAGGGGCCAAGCCCAAACCCTGAAAAACACCCCCACACCATAATCCCCCCCCTCCACCAAACTTTACACTTGGCACAATGCAGTCAGGCAAGTACCGTCCTCCTGGCAACTGCCAAACCCAGAAATGTCCATCAGATTGCCAGACAGAGAAGTGTGATTCGTCAATCCAGAGAACACGTCTCCAATGCTCTAGAGTCCAGTGGAGGCATGCATTACACCAAAGCATTCGATGCTTTGCATTGCACTTGGTGATGTAAGGCTTGGATGCAGTTGCTTATCCATAGAAACCCATTCCATGAAGTTCTGTATGCACTGCTGTTGTTCTAATCTGAAGGCCACACGAAGTTTGGAGGTCTTTAACTATTGACTCTGCAGACAGTTGGCGATTTCTGCGCACTGTGCACTTCAGCATGCACTGACCCCCGCTCTGTCATTTTACATGGCCTACCACTTCATGGCTGAGTTGCTCTTGTTCCCAGTTGCTTCCACTTTGTTATAATACCACTAACAGTTGACTGTGGAATATTTAGTAGCAAGGAAATCTTACTGATGGACTTATTGCACAGGTGGCAGCCTATCACGGTACCACACTTAAATTCACAGAGCTCCTGAGAGCAACCCATTCTTTCACAAATGTTTGTAGAAGCAGTCTGCATGCCTAGGTGCTTGATTTTATACACCAGTGGCGATGGAGGTGATTGGAACATCTGAATCCAATGATTTGGAGGGGTGTCTCAGTACTTTTGGCAATATACTGTAGTAGCCTTCAGCAGTACTCAAACTAAAGAAAAATGACACCCAATTGGCTGTCATAGATTGCACATAATACAGCCTGCATGCTATTCTCATCATACTGTTGAATCCCTTTGGATGCCTGATACCACTAAAATATTGAAACTAGCCATGTGAATCCAAAGACTATACATGCAAGTAGTCTATTGCAATGAAGTATGCATTTGCTACAAAAGAGTGTGGGCATAGAGGTGAGGTGAAATGGGCCCTGTTCACATTTAAAGCAGAACTCCAGGAAAAAAAAAAACTTTTTTCTAACCTCTACTGTGCACAAAGAAATTACCTCTAACAATGATTATCCTAGGCTCAGATTGTGATCGGTTAAGGTAAAAATCATAGATTCATTCATGCTGGGAAAACAACTCGTATTTTATTGTTTATCTGCCCCTCCTCTTCCTTTGTCCGGTTTTCGAATTGCACTACATTCTGGGAACAGAATACAAGGCATTTTGTAAATGGACATGGGGAGAGGAAAGGGAGGATAAATGATGGGATCTTTCACTGTATGAAAGCAGCAACTGTCACAGCTCTGATACCTGTAGTGTAAGAAGTACACCACTTACCTTAACCAGAAGCGAGTTGGACATCATTTGAGGTATCATGTTTACACAAGTGTTATTTATCTTTAGAAAATGTAAAATAATTTGGACATACAGTATGGTAAGTGAATTTAGATAACCACCACCACCAATATTTTTTAGGTTTGCCAATCCCGAATTGTTAGCATGAATGGGTCTATGCGTTTAACTGCAAGATGCCACTTCTATGACTAACCAAAATTTATATATATCACTGCATTTGTAGATTATCTACAATAAATCATATCTGTAATCCAGATGATGATCCATCCACAGATATAGGTACCTGTATACATAAACGTTGGCTTTTCAAGGAAAAGCTAATATATATATATATATATATATATATATATATATATATATATATATATATATATTTGGGAACTGAAATAGCCACTAGCCAGGCAGTTTTAATCCCTACTGGCAATTGGAAATGAATAGAAAAATTAAAAAATGCTAACTATTCCAAGCTTACATACAGTTCAATAAAGATATAACATAAGAAAGCACAAAATAGCTGTACACTGCAAAAAAATGAAAACAAATTGTTCACTGGCTAAGCAGGTTTTGGGCCACGGGAATACCCACTTGCTGTCTCAGTCTGTGTGTCAGTAAATTATTTTTCAGCTGAGCTAGTCTGTCTCCATTTGAAACATATTAACTGTAACTGGGACCACCTCCCTGGACCTACAAACTGTATAGAGAGTAAGGGTGACACATAGATGTTAACTTGCTTAGTCTTTTAATTTTTGTTAGTATGCAAGATAAATATTTCAGTTGAAAGCTAGCCCCTTAAGTCTGGCTGTATGCATATATGTGACAGCACAGGACTCATGCTGTCCTACCACATACAGTTGTGTTCAAAATAATAGCAGTCAGACATCACTAACCTGATCAATCATTGTTTTTGGTAGAAATTATATTTCTACATGGCAAATAATTTACTAGCAGGTGTAGTAGAGTAATAGAAATCCAACAGTCATGACATGCATGCTGCTGATTCTGTGTAATTGAATCACTAATTGAAAGGGGCATGTTCAAAATAATAGCAGTGTGGAGTTCTATTAGTGAGCTCATTCATTCTTTGAAAAACAGGTGGCAATTATTGCCCTTATTTAAGGAAGGAAGGCAGCAAATGTTGTACATGCTGGTTACAGTGCATTTCTCTCTGAAATTATGAGGAAAATGGGTCGTTCCAGACATTGTTCAGAAGAACAGCGTACCTTGATTAAAAAGTTGATTGGAGAGGGGAAAACATATAAAGAAGTGCAGAAAATGATAGGCTGCTCAGCTAAAATGATTGCAAATGCTTTAAAATGGCAACCAAAACCTGAAAGACATGGAAGAAAGCGAAAAACTACCATTCGAATAGATAGAAGAATAGCCAAAATGGCAAGGACTCAGCCAACAATCAGCTCCAGGAAGATCAAAGATGGTCTAAAGTTACCTGTGATTACTACAATTAGAAGACGCCTATGTGAAGCCAAGCTATCTGCAAGAAGCCCCTGCAAAGTCCCACTGTTGAAAAAAAGACGTGCTGAAGAGGTTACAATTTGCAAAAGAGCACATTGACTGGCCTAAAGAGAAATGGTGCAACATTTTGTGGACTGATGAAAGTAAGATTGTTCTTTTTGGGTCTAGTGGCCGGAGACAGTTTGTCAGACGACCCCCAAACACTGAATTCAAGCCACAGTACACTGTGAAGGCAGTGAAGCATGGTTGTGCAAGCATCATGATATGGGGATGTTTCTCATACTACGGTGTTGGGCCTATTTATCACATACCAGGGATCATGGATCAGTTTGAATACATCAGAATACTTGAAGAGGTCATGCTGCCTTATGCTGAAGAGGAAATGCCCTTGAAATGGGTGTTCCAACAAGACAATGACCCCAAACACACCAGTAAACGTGCAACATCTTGGTTCCAGACCAACAAGATTGACATTATGGAGTGGCCAGCCCAATCCCGGATCTTAATCCAATAGAAAACTTGCGGGGTGACATCAAAAATGCAGTTTCTGAGGCAAAACCAAGAAATAGAGAAAGAACTGTGGAATGTAGTCCAATCATCCTGGGCTGGAATACCTGTTCACAGGTGCCAGAAGTTGGTTGACTCCATGCAACACAGATGTACAGCAGTTCTCAGAAACAGTGCTTATACAACTAAATATTAATTAATTGATTCAAAGGAAAGCAAAATCTTCAAACATTTTTCTGTTTATATAGTGAATGTTTGAGTTTGTAAAGGAGAATACAAACACTGCTATTTTTTTGAACAGTCTAATATTCATTTTTCTTCAATTTTTTTTAGAGGAACAACACAAATTTGATATATTTTTCTTCATGTTTTGATTTGGAGTAGAATGTGTAGTGTTCCCAATGCATTTGTGTGTATGGAAATAAAAGCTATTAGAAGGATTTTGAGCTTTATTCACTTTTTTCAACACACTGCTATTATTTTGAACACAACTGTATATGCATACCTGTGTTAGTGCTGGGAGTGTACTTGATCATATGCCCCCAGCATGGAGACAGAACTGTCACCGACACCTTCTGGTCTCAAAGTAATGATTACATAATCACTGTGCTAGCCAATTATAGTAGTTACTAGTAGGAAAACCCTCCCTTGGAGGTCTTTCTCCTATGAAAGGAGAAAAATATACATTGTATCTTTGTTGTTCTCTAGAAGAGAAGATGGTAATAACAAGTCTGTTAAATCAAAATATATAAATATAAAAAAGATAAACCTAAATCAGGGCTCAAACTAGGTGTTAGTGTCAGTGTCTATGTGTTTTAGGTAAATCCCTACTTTCTATCAAAAACAAAAGGAAATTGGCAAACATGCTAATTATCCCAAGCTTACAATTCCATAAAGGAAAGACAAAGGGAAGGCACAAATTAATTGCAAAAAAATGAACAATAATTATTAATTGGTGGTGGGTCTTGGCAATGGTGGGAAATTTAGAGCTAAAATATGTTTTGGTTTTTTTTTTACTATTTTGGACCAGTTTTCCTTTGATGATATAAAACAATTATCATATATCACAAAATTAATTGAATTTATCTTAAAAACAACAAATTCACAAAATATCTGGCATTGAAGCATGTTAAATCTACAGAGGTAACAAACCTAATGTGTGATTCTTATAGTAACCCTGCAATCCAGTATTAGGATGCAATAAAAAATGCATATACTAAAAAAAAACAAAAACAAAACATATATATATATATATATATATATATATATATATATATATATATATATAAAAAATATTTTTTTTTTCTATTGTCTCCCAATACAGGATTACAGGGTTAGTATAAAAATTGCACATTGGGTTTATTACCACTGTGTATATTCATTATATATCCTTGAACCCAATCCCTCACAGGTTTCAAACACTGACGTTTATTAAATACGGTGAGTTGTGGGGTACTTGTAAAGTGTAGCAGATAACACTGCCATATCATGGACTGTATTAGGTGCAGTTCCATTCATTTCTGTATCCTAGGAGAAGAGTCATATGAATTATAGATGTCACATGCTGATAGTATATGCGTGACAGTCCAGCTCACATGAGAACGTGTACAGTACAAGTCCTTCACTGTTTACCACCATTCAACATACATTCTGTTTGCAATTTTGAGAAACTACTATGCAGTAAAATATTAGACAGCTAGGCAGCTTGCTGTCACCTTAAAATGATTGATGAAGCAGAGTAATTAAATCTGCACTGTTTACTAAGTGGGATCAGGAACCGGCATTAAGCTCCAACATTTTCTAGCTGTGGTACAATTAAAAGAAAGCAACTGTCTTTATCCCCCCTCTATTTGCAATGGGTGAAATTTATCAAAACTTGGAGAAGACAGAATCTGGAGAGTGCATGACAACCAACCAGTTCCTATCTTCAGCTTGTTCAGGTAAACTTGAAAATGAAAGCTAGATACTGATTGGTCTCTTTCAGACTTCACTCCAACCATTTTAGAATGTGTACAACAAATCTTTACTCTTCTCTTTTGGACAATTTCAAATCCATGTCCTATTCATGTAGCAATCAGTTTAGCTGCAACAATGATGTAAACAATGACAAAGGACATAGTGACATTACATGTGTTGACGCACTGTGATGCTATCCATTTTGGCCTCCCAATGCATTAAGGCAAGGATGTCAAACTGGCGGCCCTCCAGCTGTTGCGAAACTACAAGTCCCATCATACCTCTACCTTTGGGAGTCATGCTTGGAACTGTCAATCTTGCAATTCCTCATGGAACTTTTAGTCTGGCAGCAGCTGGAGGGTCACCAGTTTGACACCTGTGCACTAAGGCATCACACACATGCTGCAACACTCCATTGTTCAATGTGGTAAACATACATGACATGTCTGATCATTGGGATGTTTTTGTGTGTCAGAAGCCCATTGATTTCAATAGTCTGCCTTAAAGAAAGGCATGTTAACATGTCACATAATACAAAACTATAAATAGCCTCTAAAACTAAACAGCTGTATGTCACCCTCCATAGTTAAGAAAAACAGCAATATGGAAAACTTGTTTCCTTCACATTTTCAAACCCATTTCTAGATGCACAATCTTCTATATTTGGTTTATTTATAATTTGTTTATAATTCTGCTTTCTTATATTCTGCCCTGTATGTCTCTTTTTATCATACAAATCCCAGGCAGAAGAAAGGAGCTCAGTATAATGAGTCAGCAGGCATTGGCCTAGAGGGTCATCTTAGAGCTCTGACACCTGCACCTGCTCCCTACCTGCATGAATTCCCTGTTGGCACTTGTCACCTCCCCAAGCAGGATCTCTCCTACATCATCTGTGTATGTTAGGCATAGTGCTGGAGACAGAGCAGTGCTGCCATTAGTTCACAACCAGTGCTGCCATTAGTCTACCTGTGACCAGTACTGGAGACAGAGCAGTCCTGCCATTGGTCTACCTGTAACCAGTACTGGAGACAGAGCAGTCCTGCCATTAGTCTACCTGTAACCAGTACTGGAGACAGAGCAGTCCTGCCATTAGTCTACCTGTAACCAGTACTGGAGACAGAGCAGTCCTGCCATTGGTCTACCTGTGACCAGTACTGGAGACAGAGCAGTCCTGCCATTAGTCTACCTGTAACCAGTACTGGAGACAGAGCAGTCCTGCCATTAGTCTACCTGTAACCAGTACTGGAGACAGAGCAGTCCTGCCATTGGTCTACCTGTGACCAGTACTGGAGACAGAGCTGTCCTGCCATTAGTCTACCTGTGACCAGTACTGGAGACAGAGCAGTCCTGCCATTAGTCTACCTGTAACCAGTACTGGAGAGAGAGCAGTCCTGCCATTAGTCTACCTGTGACCAGTACCGGAGACAGAGCAGTCCTGCCATTGGTCTACCTGTAACCAGTAATGGAGACAGAATAGTGCTGTCATGAGTCTACCTGTACACGGTGCTGTCATTGGTCTACCTGTACACGGTGCTGTCATTAGTCTACCTGTACACGGTGCTGTCATTAGTCTACCTGTACACAGTGCTGTCATTGGTCTACCTGTACACGGTGCTGTCATTGGTCTACCTGTACACGGTGCTGTCATTAGTCTACCTGTACACGGTGCTGTCATTAGTCTACCTGTACACGGTGCTGTCATTAGTCTACGTGTACACGGTGCAGTCATTAGTCTACCTGTACACGGTTCTGTCATTGGTCTACCTGTACACGGTGGTGTCATGAGTCTACCTCTACACGGTGCTGTCATTGGTCTACCTGTACACGGTGCTGTCATGGGTCTAGACCTGTACACGGTGGTGTCATGAGTCTACCTGTACACGGTGCTGTCATGGGTCTACCTGTACACGGTGGTGTCATGAGTCTACCTGTACACGGTGGTGTCATGAGTCTACCTGTACACGGTGGTGTCATGAGTCTACCTGTACACGGTGCTGTCATTGGTCTACCTGTACACGGTGCTGTCATTGGTCTACCTGTACACGGTGATGTCATGAGTCTACCTGTACACGGTGATGTCATGAGTCTACCTGTACATGGTGCTGTCATGAGTCTACCTGTACACGGTGATGTCATTGGTCTACCTGTACACGGTGCTGTCATTGGTCTACCTGTACACGGTGGTGTCATGAGTCTACCTCTACACGGTGCTGTCATTGGTCTACCTGTACACGGGTGCTGTCATGGGTCTACCTGTACACGGTGGTGTCATGAGTCTACCTGTACACGGTGCTGTCATGGGTCTACCTGTACACGGTGGTGTCATGAGTCTACCTGTACACGGTGGTGTCATGAGTCTACCTGTACACGGTGCTGTCATTGGTCTACCTGTACACGGTGCTGTCATTGGTCTACCTGTACACGGTGCTGTCATTGGTCTACCTGTACACGGTGCTGTCATTGGTCTACCTGTACACGGTGCTGTCATTGGTCTACCTGTACACGGTGCTGTCATTGGTCTACCTGTACACGGTTCTGACATGAGTCTACCTGTCCACGGTTCTGTCATTGGTCTACCTGTACACGGTGCTGTCATGAGTCTACCTGTCCACGGTGCTGTCATGAGTCTACCTGTCCACGGTGCTGTCATTGGTCTACCTGTACACGGTGCTGTCATTGGTCTACCTGTACACGGTTCTGTCATTGGTCTACCTGTACACGGTGCTGTCATGACTCTACCTGTACACGGTGCTGTCATGACTCTACCTGTACACGGTGCTGTCATGACTCTACCTGTACACGGTGCTGTCATGACTCTACCTGTACACGGTGCTGTCATTGGTCTACCTGTACACGGTGCTGTCATTGGTCTACCTGTACACGGTGCTGTCATGAGTCTACCTGTACACGGTGCTGTCATTGGTCTACCTGTACACGGTGCTGTCATGACTCTACCTGTACACGGTGCTGTCATTTGTCTACCTGTACACGGTTCTGTCATGAGTCTACCTGTCCCCGGCGCTCACCCGGCAGTGTCACCCTGACTCACACATGTTACACACTCTCCTCATGCCCGGCACTGGTCACATGACCCCCGCCCTCCTCTCGATCTCGCTGACAGGGGCGAGCACACGAGGGGTTAAGTCACGTGTCTGGCCGGAGGCGCTCCTCTCCCCCCGACACTCCGTCACCGTTCCCCGCCGCCTCACTGGCTCGGCTGACCTGTCAGTTATGAGGAGGGTGGCATGACTGATATTAAGTTGCTGCGACACAGCAGATAACCCTTTCCGTGCCCGCCCGCTATGTGACAGAAAGTTGTGGGGAGGAGAAGTGAGACTCCTCCGGGGTGACCCGACCTGGACATGTACCCCTGGAGGTGAGGTGACTGGAGGACGAGGTGTGTCCCCGGCCTATGTCTATGGGCAGCCTGACATGACCGATTACCGACAGGGCCATACACACCACGATGGGGGCACTGTATCAGTCGTGACTGTCATGGTGACATCTGATTGGAGCAGGCTGTTCAGACCTGTTGTGTTATGTTTGTGAATGGAGCCCCCAGTCTTTTGTTCAGCACATGGGGCAATGCAGTCACTACCCCCCAGTCAGTCCCCAATGCCAACTCTGCCATTAGTCACATGACAGCAGGATTCCCATTAGTGTCTATGGGGCCCGGGCACACCTGTGCTCCACACAGGTTGGAAAAAGGCGCAGGCGCTTCTGTGGGAGCTCATGAAAAATGCGTACAAAAAAAAAAACGCAGTAGTATGAACCTAGACTAAAGCAGAACTAAACTAGTACAAAACTGCACACAAGCAGGAGAGACATGACCGGTCTCTTCCCTAGTAAGAAGCACTTACCTGTCTAGTCACTGAGCTGCGCATGCACAGGATGATAGCATTCCCAGCCAGCCAATCAAGAGGCTGAAAACCTGGAAAAGGGATGAACCATTGCATCACTGGAAGAAGTGAGCACTTTTGGGGGGTTTAGTTCCACTTTAAGCCCCGGTTCACAACAAATGTGGCTTTGAAATCACGCAATTTCAAAGCCAACCATTAGTGCGATTTCATGTGTTGTTTGCCGACATCTGTGTGACTTCATGCACAGATGTCAATGCACGTTGCACATGAAATCACCAAAAATAGTGCAGGAACCTTTTTCAAATCTGGTGCAAATTGCAGTCACACCGATTTGAATGGAATAGGGTGCAACTTGTCATGCGATCTTGAACTGTCAAATGGCAATTATTATTATACAAGATTTATATAGGGCCATCTGTTTGCATGGTGCTTTACAATATAAAGGGGGATGGTATAGTTACAATACAATAAAAAACGAGAGGATTAATAGGACCCTGATCATAGGAGCTGTCAATCTAATAGGGTGGGGTGAACGGGGGCTTAAGCAGAACCAAACCTTCCAAAACCAACCTCCCTTCCATCAATGCAGTGTTTTTGAGCTCCCTCACCAGCAACAGGGGCTTCAGCCATTTTAATTGGCTGAGATGACATAACTCCCATGCATGCGCACAAGAGTTCCTTCATCCTGGCACCAAGGTGTGCAGAGCATGTACACTGTACTGCGCATCCTGCGGGAAGGAAAGAAAGAAAAGCCCTTATTACAGAAGAGACCTAGAGAGCAACTAAGACTGGAGTGGCTGTACATAGCAACCAATCAGCTTGTAGTTTTCATTTCCAAAGCTTAACCAAATAAGTTAAAGATAGTGGCTGATTGGTTACTATGTCCAGCTGCTCCAATTTTAGTAAATCCTCCCTATAGTATGTCTTTTCTGCAATAAGCATCCTTCCTGCTTAGATGTTTTGTCAAATCAGAGTAAAGTTCCACTTTAATGTGGTTGTAATCCCTTAAATATACACAGTGAAGTGACTGCCCTCAGGTGATACACAGAGATGAAACAAATCCTACATACACTATATTGCCAAAAGTATTGGGACACCCCTCCAAATCATTGGGTTCAGGTGTTACATGGCACAGGTGTATAAAATCAAGCACCTAGGCATGCAGACTGCTTCTACAAACATTTGTGAAAGAATGGGTTGCTCTCAGGAGCTCTGTGAATTCAAGTGTGGTACCGTGATAGGTTGCCACCTGTGCAATAAGTCCATCAGTAAGATTTCCTTGCTACTAAATATTCCACCCTCAACTGTTAGTGGTATTATAACAAAGTGGAAGCAACTGGAAACAATAGCAACTCAGCCATGAAGTGGTAGGCCATGTAAAATGACAGAGTGGGGTCATGCTTAAGTGCGCAGAAGTCGCCAACTGTCTGCAGAGTCAATAGCTAAAGACCTCCAAACTTCGTGTGACCTTCAGATGAGCGCAACAGTGCGTAGAGAGCTTCATGGAATGGCTGAGCAGCTGCATGTGGTGTAAAGCATGCCACTACTGGACTCTGGAGCAGGACTTCTCTGGAGTGACGAATCACGCTTCTCTGTCTGGTAATCCGATGGATGTGTCTGGGTTTGGCAGTTGCCAGGAGAACAGTACTTGCCTGACTGCATTGTACCAAGTTTAAAGTTTGGTGGAGGGGGAATTATGGTGTGGGGTTGTTTTTCAGGGCTTGGGTTTGGCCCCTTAGTTCCAGTGAAGAGAACTCTTAAGGCATCATCATACCAAGATATTTTGGACAATTTCATGCTCCCAACTTTGTGGGAACAGTTTGGGGATGGCCCCTTCCTGTTCCAACATAACTGTGCACCAGTGTACAAAACAAGGTCCATAAAGACATGGATGAGAGAGTTTGGGGTGGAGGAACTTGACTGGCCTGCACAGAGTCCTGACCTCAACCCGACAGAACACCTTTGGGATGAATTAGAGTGCAGACTGTGAGCCAGGCCTTCTCGTCCGACATCAGTGCCTGACCTCACAAATGCGCTTCTGGAAGAATGGTCAAACATTCCCATAGACACACTCCTAAACCTTGTGGACAGCCTTCCCAGAAGAGTTGAAGCTGTTATATCTGCAAAGGGTGAGCCAACTCAATATTGAACCCTACGGACTAAGACTGGGATGCCATTAAAGATCCTGTGCGTATAAAGGCAGGTGTCTCAATACTTTTGGGAATATAGTGTATGGGAACTGGCTCTATAGAAAGCTGGTTTGGTTCACACGTCATGCGAATCAGATGCGGTTCAAAATGCATCCAATTAACATGTATGTGAACTGGGGCTAAGGGATGCAGGCTGAAACGCCTGGCTACTGGAAGTTACTGCACACCGCTCCTCCTACTACTCAGTAAGCTCAGTAAGATAAGCATTAGAGGTTAACCCAATCACTAAAAGTCTATATCCACTTTAACGCGTTAATGCCATTGCAACAGAAATCATTTTGAATGTTTTAAAATCTGCTCTTTTTTTAAAATAAGACCTGGTGACCATGCCATGAAGGTCCTACTTGAGGCACTTCCTCCAATAGGGCGACAACACTCCATCCCTGTTATCTAGTTGTTCTCCTGCATGGTCACACTGTCCTAGGGACTTCTGAAGGTGAAGACTACAAGTGTCCATTTCTACACACATTAATCACCCATGGTCCAGTGTTGTCACCATCAGGAAACCCACCCTGAGATATACCATGCAGCCTTACTTGAGTGCCTGCAGACAGAACTGGCTGAAAGAAGGCTGCAGGAGATCGGAGGCATTGAAATAAAACAAAGGATTAAAAGAAGTATTTAAAAAAAAATGGCAGTTTAGAATACTCAGCACCTGAACAAACTGCCCTTCACTTAGGGTGGAATACTAGAAGGGGAATTGAATAAAACTGGAAAAGACAGAATCTAGAGCTGTGCGGAGTAACAAATTGGCTTCTATATTCAGCTCCTTCAATTAAGCCTTGAAAATGAAAGCTAGAAACTGATTGGCTGTCATGCACGGCTCCTCCAGATTCTGTCTGCTCTAGTCTTGAATGTGTCAAATCATGGAGTGTGTGTGATGGAAAGTTCCATGTCGGGGATCCAGTGTAGATAATGGAAGGAGGATTTATATGAATAGTGGAGTATATGAAGGGGAAGAAAAGTTCCTGGTGAAGTGCACACATCACTATGGACCATCATTTCATACCGATCATGTCTGTCACTGCCAATACACACCATCAGATCAATCATCTTCCCAGAGAAACTCTCCTCCTCATCATCATCATCATCATCAATACCTCCACTGATAGAATACATGGAGAAGCCATGTCCAGGGAAGTGTGGATCCCACATTAATGACAGCACCCTGGAGAGATGTCAGCTGTATATAGTGACAGTTGTATGAAGACTAATGCTGTATATAGTGACAGTTGTATGAAGACTAATGCTGTATATAGTGACAGTTGTATGAAGACTAATGCTAATATCGCTGCTAAAAGGGGATGTGAGGACACGGTCATGTATGACACATGTGATGAGCTGTGTGGGAGGATGGTGGAGCTGGTGAGGCTCTGCTATGAAGTCTGGCAGAAATCACCCCCCATAGATGTGTGAGTGTGCTGTGCCATGAGATGCAGTGCAGCCTATAGAGGAGACAGCCCTGTCTGAGTCTGTGTCTGGGTGGGAGAAGTAAACACATAGGAGAGTGGAGGGGGGTGGGTGCACCCCACACACGCAGGTAGGTAGGTAGGTGACACCCTCTACTGCATGGAGCAGGCACAGGTGACACTTAACCCTTCAGGTGCAGAGGGGAGTCTGATGAGGAGGAGGAGGGTGATGTCTGGTGTCGGTGCACACGGTGTGGACTTTGCTCGGTGTCCATGGCTCACTCACCTCTCCGCCTAGGACATGGTAGTCGGCTGCCGGCGATCTTCTGCCTCCTGCCAGATCCGCTAGCAGACTGTGCACAGCGAGATCGGCCGACCCCACACACACACCGATCTCCTTCCCCGATCGCTGACCCAGATCCGATCCCCGATGGGTGACAGCGGGACCAGGTGTCCGGGCACACCCTCCGACCAGTGTGGACGGAGCTCAGAGCCCGCACTCTCCTCTCATCGCCCCGGAGCGCCTCTGGCGGAGTTGGAAAACTTTTCCCCGGCTTGGAGCTGCCAGCAGTCAGGCTCGTCCTTCCATCCCCCGTGTCCGGCGTCCTGTCACATCGCTCACATCGTCCCCCCGGAGCGGCGATCATCCAGCGGCTGATGGAGAGGCGGCGGGGCCGGGAGCCGAGTGTTCCCGGAGAGAGCCGACAGCCCGAACACAGCAGCCCGGACAGCACTTGTATTGGAGCGGAGGATGACTGACAGCGCACTGAGCACCGAGCTGTCTAGTTCCCATGCAGAGAAACCCGTGTGATGTCACCGTGACATCGGAGGTCACATGACTCCGGTCATATGGGCCGCTCTGCTGCCAGTCTGCCTGTACTGTGCCGCCTCTCCTACCGACTCACTGCCAGCCGACGGACCGGCTACCGGGAGACACGTGCCGGGTACACTCCGCCCTCATACCTGACCGTCATACTACATTCTACCGTCATAGCGGACCGACATACTAAATTCTCTCGTCATACCGGACCGACATACTACATTCTACCGTCATACCGGACCGACATACCACACGGTGCCGTCATACTACATTCTACCGTCATGCTACACTACCCTGTCATACTGTACCGTCTACCGGGGAGAGCGCGCCGGGCTACACTCTACTGTCATACACTCTCCTACTACATGATACTGTCATGCTGCACTCTTCTATCATACTTCACCCCACTGTCATACTGTACTGTCCTACTGCACCCCACTGTCATACTGTACTGTCCTACTGCACCCCACTGTCATACTGCACTGCCCTACTGCACCCCACTGTCATACTGTACTGTCCTACTGCACCCCACTGTCATACTGTACTGTCCTACTGCCCCCACTGTCATACTGCACTGCCCTACTGCACCCCACTGTCATACTGTACTGTCCTACTGCACCCCACTGTCATACTGCACTGCCCTACTGCACCCCACTGTCATACTGTACTGTCCTACTGCACCCCACTGTCATACTGCACTGCCCTACTGCACCCCACTGTCATACTGTACTGTCCTACTGCACCCCACTGTCATACTGCACTGCCCTACTGCACCCCACTGTCATACTGTACTGTCCTACTGCACCCCACTGTCATACTGCACTGCCCTACTGCACCCCACTGTCATACTGCACTGTCCTACTGCACCCCCACTGTCATACTGCACTGCCCTACTGCACCCCACTGTCATACTGTACTGTCCTACTGCACCCCACTGTCATACTGCACTGCCCTACTGCACCCCACTGTCATACTGTACTGCCCTACTGCACCCCACTGTCATACTGCACTGTCCTACTGCACCCCACTTTCATACTGTACTGTCCTACTGCACCCCACTGTCATACTACTGCCCTACTGCACCCCACTGTCATACTGTACTGTCCTACTGCACCCCACTGTCATACTGTACTGCCCTACTGCACCCACTGTCATACTGTACTGTCCTACTGCACCCCACTGTCATACTGTACTGTCATACCGCACCCCACTGTCAAACTGTACTGTCCTACTGCACCCCACTGTCATACTGTACTGTCCTACTGCACCCCACTGTCATACTGCACTGCCCTACTGCACCCCACTGTCATACTGTACTGTCCTACTGCACCCCACTGTCATACTGCACTGCCCTACTGCACCCCACTGTCATACTGTACTGTCCTACTGCACCCCACTGTCATACTGCACTGCCCTACTGCACCCCACTGTCATACTGTACTGTCCTACTGCACCCCACTGTCATACTGCACTGCCCTACTGCACCCCACTGTCATACTGTACTGTCCTACTGCACCCCACTGTCATACTGCACTGCCCTACTGCACCCCACTGTCATACTGCACTGTCCTACTGCACCCCACTGTCATACTGCACTGCCCTACTGCACCCCACTGTCATACTGTACTGTCCTACTGCACCCCACTGTCATACTGCACTGCCCTACTGCACCCCACTGTCATACTGTACTGCCCTACTGCACCCCACTGTCATACTGCACTGTCCTACTGCACCCCACTGTCATACTGTACTGTCCTACTGCACCCCACTGTCATACTGTACTGTCCTACTGCACCCCACTGTCATACTGTACTGTCCTACTGCACCCCACTGTCATACTGTACTGCCCTACTGCACCCCACTGTCATACTGTACTGTCCTACTGCACCCCACTGTCATACTGTACTGTCCATACCGCACCCCACTGTCAAACTGTACTGTCCTACTGCACCCCACTGTCATACTGTACTGTCCTACTGCACCCCACTGTCATACTGTACTGCCCTACTGCACCCACTGTCATACTGTACTGTCCTATACTGCACCCCACTGTCATACTGTACTGTCCTACCGCACCCCACTGTCATACTGTACTGTCCTACTGCACCCCACTGTCAAACTGTACTGTCCTACTGCACCCCAC